TAAAAACGTAAAACCATAACAGCGGATCGCTTCTGATTGGTTACGCGGTTCCACACTTCACGAACTTGATAGAGTGCGGGCGCGTTCACATCTTGAGTGCCACATTACATAAGCGCGGAAACGCGGAAATGAGGAAACGCGTAACCAATCAGAAGCGATCCATTGTTATGGTTTCGCATTTTACCGATTACTGATTGGTTGCGCGTTTTCCGCGTTTCCGTGTTTCCGCGCTCATGTAATGGCACCTTGACGGAAAAACAGAAAGCGGAAAAGCAGCAGCCAATCAGGACTCGCGCTGGTATTCGACAATTTCGGCTTTTTGTATTACTTAAGGCCATCACACGTACAAAAATTTTAGTCGTAATTGTAAGGCCGTAGGCAAATCGGCCAATCACAGTCGAGCGTTTAAAAGCGCGAAATCTTAATTTTGATTGTGATTGGTCGATTTGTTTGCGACCTTACGATTCCGACTAAAATTTTTGTACGTGTGATGACCTTTACTACCAGCGCGAGTTGTGATTGGCCACTGCTTTTCCGCTTTCTGCTTTTCCGTCAAGATGTGAACGCGCCCTGAGTAGGAGCTATGGTAGGAGCATATTGGAGCTTGCGACGCGAACAAACCTCAAGGCATCGCAGGCATCCGATCGACGTTTCCGAACGCAGCCTTTATAAATCTAGTGACTTTACGTTATTTCATCGGCGAATGCCATTAAACCAAAAGAAGAAGAAGAACAGATACCCTTCTATCTCTCATAAGTTTGAGGCGGACTGTTCTCGTAATCTCGTCCACTCGTCTCACACGTCTTATCACGTTTGCTCCACGAAGAAACTTTCTTGAAGGCGTATGACGTAACGACGTCGTCGTCTGGCACAGTGTTTCTTAGGGGCTATTTTTCAACTGCACGGCAGATTAAGGTATTACGCATACAGATAATTAGCGTTACTTAAAGTGGTCCAACGAGACGCTCGACAGGACAGTCGTGTCCGCGCGGGTAGATGGTATCGCCATTCCGTTAATTATAGATCTCGAGGAAAGTCGTCGAAGAGACGACTCGCGTTCCCCTCCTCTCCCTCTTCTGCTCTTTCCCGATATCCTAGTCTAAAATCTCGCGGAAACGACTCTCATCGTTTCCGAGTGGAATCCAATATATCCATTCCCTCCATTTTCCTTTGTTAATTTCTTCGAGGATGAGGAGTTTCCGGATTAGCTGGCGACATGTAGGATTTGATTAAAGTCGGACCTCTCTTAGATTCAGGATTATTTTTTACCCATTCTCTCTCTCTCTCTCTCTCCCCTCTCTCTCTTTCTCATGTGTTTTACATTTCCAAATATACTGCAAAAAAGGGACACAATATGTATAAAGCAAAATTGCTTTACAATCAGTGTTTTTCTTCTTGAGACCCTTTTCTCTTGTCTCCTTGAGACACTGATTGTGTTCAGCAGAGAAAGCAACTTTGCAACTGTTGTAAAATTCTTTAATATGATTGGTTTTTGCATTTAGATCCAGCAAAGGACTATCTTGTAAGAATTTTACAACTGTTGCAAAGCTGCTTTCTCTACTGAATACAGCTACTGCAAAACAGTGCGATTACCATGCTGATACTTTATCCGTTAAATTACAGCTTGATGATCGCAGGTAATGCCTTTGATTTGATACAAAGTATCCTCTGACTCATCATGTATCAGTTATCATTTGTTGTGTCTATGTTATGCTCTCTTGCTCTATAAGTCCGCCTGTCTCTCTCGCAAATGCACACAAAAAAAAAATAAAAAAAGAAAAACGCCCAAGTCATATGAAGGCGGGAGGATCCAAAACAAGCCATATACTCATGGAAGGCAGTTTCTATCCTTATAGGTCCATCCTTCGGTTCGACCCGTCAACGTGATGGACTCAAAGCGGTACGAACGCAGCGCCAGATCGAATACCGAATCGCCACCCACTCCGCCCTCGCCTCCCATGTATAGCACAGGTTATACCACGACACATGACAGCCACAAGAGCAGAGTCGCAGGTACGCGACGTTCACCTTCGCCCGTCATGGAGCACCATCGCAGCAGTAGATCGTCACGGAACGACTCACCGCTCCAGGAGCGACGTAAGCGCCGTCGTAGCGGATCCAGATCGTCCCCGGTACGCTCCCACAGACGGTCCAGGTCCAACGACAGAGATCGGGATCGCGACAGAGAGAGATCACGCAAGTACTCAAGAAGAGACAGATCGCGTTCGAGGTCGCGTGGTAGGTCTCGTTCGAGAGATAAGAAACGAAGTCGCAGTCGTAATCGCAGCAGAGATAGAGACAGGCACAGGTACAGGGAGAGCCGCAGGCATCATGCCAGGGGAACCTCCTACGAATCCGATGCCTTGGAGGAACACGGAGAGATGGTGATACACCAAACGGCCGCTGTTGTCCCACAACCGAATGCCTTCAAGAATGATGGCAGTTTTATGGAGGAATTCAAGAAGATGCAGGAGCGGATGCAACCTACCATGCAAAAACCTACTACTTCGGTCTTGGAGGAAAAGCCTGTGGTACCGCCGCCGTTGATGGTGGGCAAGAGGAGGGGTGGTAGGATCTTAAAGACTGGTGTGGTAGCAAAACCAAAGACAGAACAGACAGCAGAACAGCCAAAGGACGCGTGGTCCCTATATATGGCAGAAGTAAAGAAGTATCGGGAGGTTTGCTGCCAGGAGGAGGATAACACGCGACCGTTGGTTAAATAGCTTCGGCAATTCGTCTTTACATACATTGGCTCATTACTTTTCTTCTAAGACACTTATAGTTGATAGTTAATTCTTAAAACAACAGATACTTCTCAAATGTACCTTTCGTTCATTTTGTTTCGCCATGAACTTTTATGTTCATTTAAGATAAGATTTCTTTTTCAACGATCTGAACGAAAGAGAATAGAGAAGAGAATAAGTGCCGTGAGAAACGGACTCATTTGTGATATAGTGTCGTGTATGTGTGTGTGCTTTGAGAGACGAATGGACAAGAGCGAGAGAGAAATGATAGAATTTACATTTATGGGCAAATAAAGGGTTAAAGGAGATAGAGAGAGAGAGAGAGAAGAGATGAAATGCTACACGAATTCATGCTGAAATTTAGAGATTAAATAATTTATAGCTTGTCAAGCAGTGTCCTGTATTGTCGCAATCATGATCAAGCTTTCGGACGTTGATGAGACAAAGTGGCAAACCGCACCCTATGATCCTAGGTTCCCTAATCAGAATCAAACCAGGTAAAAATCAAATCTCTCATAATCAATATGTACGCTATCTTCATTAGTGAAAATTATCCTAGCATAATCAATTTTTAAAGAACCCTCAAATTTTTCTACAGGAAAGTATAATGTGCCATTGTTATGCTTACCAATTTCTTTTGTCATTGCATTCATTATCAACAAAATGGCTCATCCATGAAACACTATAAAATAATGCACGAAATGTCATATCATTTAATTATCCAAATTTCAAAAATGGCTGTGGTACTAGTTGCGTACCAATTTTAATAAAAATAAATGTATTATATTTAAACCAATAGTATGACATTTTATGTTTTACTACCTTGTAATTATAATATGTACACTACTAATATTTCACCATATTAAAATTACAAAAATTAAATATGAAAGAAATTCTTGTCATAATTCAAGTTGATTTATCAAATGTAGTAAAATTTATAACTATCTAATGGGTCAATTCTAAGCAAAATCGTAAGACTCGTAACGTGTTCTCGTAAAACTTGTAAGAACTTATGACTAATGTTTTAATTTTATGCGTATGTGTCGTAAGACGTATGATTATATATTCGTAAATATCTACGATTTCTTATAAATTTTATGGCTAGTAAGAAGCTGTCCGTAAAAATATTGTATAAAGATATAAGCATTTAAAATTCTTACAAGTCTTACAGGAATATGTTACAAGCCTTACGATTCTGCTTAGAATTTAGGCATTCTTTACTTTTATAGAGTAAGCGCTAGGTGTGTATATGTATGTATACACATATCATAAATTGTTTATAAAGTAGTGAAAGAAAAAAAAGTGACAGTTATTTTGTCTTAAAAGCATGATAGAAGTATATCATACTTGTATTTAGGACAATAAAGAAGGCGAATATCTTTAATTGATTCTAATAATCTATAGATATTGCTACCAGAGCTACATAGACTTCCATCGATGCAAGAAGAAGCACAACGAAAATTACGAGGCTTGTCAGTACTTCAAAAGAGTCTTTAAATCAATGTGTCCGAACACCTGGGTAGAGAAGTGGGATGGACAGGTTGAAGCAGGCACATTTGCTGGTCGCGTCTAGAATTTCCAGCGATTAATAAATCGCATCTACTTTTCATCTTAGTGAACTTTTCAAATAGTCGAACAAGATTTTAGGATCGTGCTATTTCCTGTTTGTAAACTAAGTTCAATTTAAATAAATCCTAATGACACTTTAATCTCTCATCTTTCTCATTATGTTGAGATTTTCTGTTACATTTCGGCAGACAGATTCGTAAAACTTTCTAATTACATTTTTTTTCTTCTAATAACGATCACAATTGTAATGATTTAATTTGTGAATTGTGTAAGTTAAAAAATTTTGTCTATTTGTGGATTTTATATATATATATGTATATATATATATATATATACGCGTGTATGTGTGTATGTACGTGCGCACGCGCGTACATACGAACCACACGCATACAAAAACCACATACACACCCCATAGCTCGCGGCACGAATAAAGTATAATATAATGCTGTAAATCTATAAAATATTCATTACAAATATATAAGTGTCTTTTTCATAAATTTCCTTTCGATTTAACCGACGCTTTCTATTCCTAGATAAATTAATATTAATTATTTTAATACAACATGAGTTACAAATAAGATTTTATTAACCAAATATTGCATAGTCTTAAACAATATCAAGATATCGACATGACACATCAATATGTTGATACTCTGAATACTCAGTTAGTCATCATTAACAATCAAATATAATTACATGATAGTGGACTGTATTAATATATTTACAATTTGATATAGTCAATTGCAACAATCAATTCGGAAAGCGATTCCCGAGAGAGAAAGAGAGAGAGAGAGAGAGAGAGTATCAAACATAAATAGTGAGACATGCGATATTGAAATTATGATACAAAAGTTCAAACATTGCTACATAACTGTTGATAATTATTCATAGACGGACTGCTCGCGAAATTGAAGATAGAGACTATATTTGTGATATCCCAAAATCACCAACGGATATAATTTATATTAATAATACAGTATTATATGCTTAACGTGTATTTATATACATTAAGTTGTAAACACAAGTATTACAAGATAGCAGTACTCGCCATGTTCTTGAACATGTCTCACTTTTCAAGTGTCGCTATGTTACAAATATGCTATAGAACATCACTAATGATTTACTTAAATAAGTACCTAACTACGCATGATCGCACAATACACACGCAATTTATCACTTACAAATATCTCGAAAGACGGATCATATGAAAATAAAGTATCAAGAGATAGGAAAGTACGGAGTGTCAATGATGCAGGCTGGCTACTTTTAACTTTTTTGGTTGTCGAATTGCTTGACCAGTCTCACTGTCAGAGGACTCGGATTCTGTGTCGTTGTACCCACTTATGCCCACTGATTCAGACTTGGTCACCTCACAGGTTTCTGTGTAGCCAGTAAGCGAGGCTTTTTCTAACGAACGAACTTTAAAAGAATAAATAATTAGAAGAAACGAGTAATATCCTATTTTCATTTAATTTATAGTCACAATACAAAAATTTGAGTCTTTCAAAATAAATTAAATTAATTATAATGAAACTCAAGAAAGAGACATTAAGAATCAAAAAGTATAAGATAAAAAATTTAATGATAATAATAATTTAACTATTTACGATAATAATAATAATAATAATTTAACAATATTTAAGAGATAAAATTTAATGATTTAGCCAGATAGCTTTATTATAAAGTAATTTTGTATCAATACACATCCATTGTTAAATCACTGAAAAGTATTTTCTGTTTGAATTCTAAATTATGCAAATGATGGTAATGTTTTCTTTATGAATGTCACAAACAAAATCTACCAAAAAATGTAAAAATTTTAAATATTCTATTAAAAAAAAAAAGATACTGTTTCTTATATCTCTTTTTAGAGGGATCAACGATACTTTATCTGTCATAATAGGCTCTGACAAACCATTAACCGGATCTACATTAGATTTTTAAGCCTTAAGCCGTATGAAATGGACGAATCAGTCAATTATTCTCCTCGCATTTGATTCTAATTAGTCAATTTCTTACGGCTTAAGGCTTAAAACACCTATTGTAGATCTGGAATAAAACTGCAAAAAAAATTTTCTCGCTAGTTTTAATAGTTTTGAAGAAAACTTTTATACAGAGTGTAAAACATATGAACTTTTTTTCGTGTTTCGGTGTAGGGGAACTCGGCTCTGAAGTTTGTTATCTTATTTTAGTTAAATAAGGTAACCATTCCTGTATAATACACCTCATGTATAGTGTATATGTGACTATAAAAGAGAAGAGAAAATTACTTTGAGACTCTAAGAGAGTATTCTGTCTCTTGAGGTCATCAATGTCTTGCTGATGGGATGTATTTTTACGCCGCATAAATTGAATGTACTCGGCTGCTTTTTTTAGGATTTGTGCTCTGCTTGCAACTTTTTCCCCCTGCAGGGATGGTACACAATCTCTGAGACTGGAAAAACTGTCTTTGATGTGGTCCCGTCGCTTGCGCTCCAAAGCATTATGATGCGCTCTTTTCTCTGCCTAATAAATACAAAGTTCTTATAATCTTATATATTTATTATATTAAATAATAAAATTTTTTAAAACCAAAAATAACAGTATAAAAAATAAAGCTGAAACTTAATTGTTTGAATCGAATTTCAATACTAAAAGTGAAAAGTATACTTGAAAATGATCGAAATATGTTTCAAATGAAAGTGAAACGATTTCGAGGACACATTTTGGTCACATTGTTTTTTTCTAGGTAGAAGCTTCAAAAAGGGTATAATCACTTCCACTTTTTTAAATGGAATTATATGATTTTTTAAATATAATATTCCTCTAATACTGCATATAAAAGTATTAGAGATGTCAAAAATCATTAGTTTAGGAGATATTTTAAGCGCGCGCGTTCTCCTGTAAGAATTACCATTTTTTAAATCTATATGTAGCTTTTCTTTCTAGGAAATCTTGAACTAATTTGATTAAAAATTGTTTAATTTAACCAAATTTTTTTAATTTAACTAAATTTTAATTTTAAATCCATATCAAAAGTGACGAACAATCAAACAAAAGAAAAATTAATTTTTCAAATTACAACTTTGTAGTTTAAGAAGAGATACACTGGCTGTGTTCAGCAGAGAAAGCAGCTTTGCAACTGTTGTAAAATTCTACGATTGGTACTTGTTTTGATTCCTTGTAGATCTACACGTATAAACCAATCATATTGAAGAATTTTACAACAGTTGCAAAACTGCTTTCTCTGCTGAACGCAGCCATTGTGTTTAGAAAAAAAGCACTAATCAAAATATAATCAATCATGTAAGATAAAAAATTAAAAAAACGATTCAATTACATTAATTCAATGAGAAAAAGCGACACATGGGCAGTTAATGCTATGATTCTGCCTATGTACAACATAAACAGTAAATTTTAAATAATAAACAAACTAATCAGAGTTTTAAAACGATAGTCATATATACAGGGTGTTTCCAAATTAAATCGCAAAACTTCGGGAGCGTGTAGAGGAGTAAAAAACTAAGAAAAAAAGTCCTATAGACATATGCTCGTTTTTGCTCCGTTTCAGAGAAATCGAAAAAAAATGTTTACATTTCTTGCCATATCTAGCACCGACATATTTGATTACATTTTCCACTTTCTGTTATGAATTTGTCAGTCGCTCTTTGAAAGCCTTTAACAGTAGATGAATTTTGTCTTTTGCAATATGCCGCGTACGTATTCTAATAGTGAATATGCTGATATGGTTTTTGTATACGGTTTCTGCAACGGTAATGCTTTAAAGGCGGTGCGAGAATATGCACGACGATTTCCAAACAGAAGAGTGCCAAACCGAAGAGTGTTTATGTTGACATTTAATAGATTGCGAGAGACTGGATCATTTTCAATTCGACAAGAAAACAACCGATTTCAAGCAGCGTTA